GACTGGAACACTATGTCATATCGGAAATTGTGTAGAAGTTTTTTTTAAATACATTTCCCATTAATAGCGGCCATACTATTATCGCAGGCGAACAATCCGATATCGCTGTACGTCCGGTCAGTGATTCAACGTCATATTGGAAAGTGTGTAGATCTTTAATATTTCGACTAATATTCCAGTTGTAGTCTCGAAAGTATATACTTGAGCGAACTTCGAAAATGTACGAATATTCGAATAACGATGTACTACATTTCGTTTCCGTGATTCTATGTTTATGTACGTGTATATATACATATATATATATATATATATGATATATATATATAGTATAGATATATGTATATACACGTACAGTAAACATGTGATTCTATGTTATGTACGTGTATATATACATATATATATATATATATATATAATATATATATGATATATATATATCATATATATATATATATATGATATATATATATATATATATACATATATGGACATGCTATGCTGTGTTATCGAAAAACTGTAATTTGAAAAGAATATATACATCGAACGGTTCTAATTCTATTATACAGGGTGTCCGCAAAGTTGGGGTTATCCTTTACACGACGTGTAGATCTTGAAACATAAGCAATTTTTCTTAGTGCCATATACACCAATATCTTAAGGGAACCGAGATAAAGGGCTCTGCAACATCAAAAATATCTGAATACCGTCCTGTAGCCGCCACCCGCCGCGATGCCCCAGACAGGGTACCGGCTACTAGCTGAACCGACGACAGAACGGGTCGGGGGTGGGGGTCCGAGTGTCAGGTCAGTATGCAACCTTCAACCGACGGTAAAGGGTCACGCGTATAGAGGTATAATAAATATAATAATAATGGCACACTCATATACCAATAATGAACTCGTTGATATGTTGTTAATTTATTAATGAACGTCTTCAAAATGATACAGAATCGTCGCGAGTGTATGCAGATCTTTTCCCTAGACGACATCATCCAAGGCCCCGCAGATTGTGTACCCGGTCCAGAGAGTCAGGGATACGGGCCATTTGGAGGAATATCGAGGTGGGCACAGTGGGAGGTCTAGACAACCACGAATGGTGCTAGTTGAGGAAGAACTACTGAATCGCGTAGACGAGAATCCCTCAACAAGCACTAGAGACGTGGCTAGAGAAGTGCGAGTATCACAAACTAGAGTGTGGCAAACGTCCAACCTGACGATTTTCCAGCAAGAGTGCGGTTTTGTGAGTGGTTGTTGCATCAACATGACAATAATCCGGACTTTTTGAAGTGCATATTGGTGACAGACGAATCTACGTTCACACGTAATGGGGTCAACTGGAGAGTGAGTACGTTTTCCTTTATATATTTTTTTTACATGGTCGGCCCTCGTTTCACTACGCATTACCTTTGTTATTTCAAGGGTAGTTGTTTCTGAAAGGAAAGCCCAACTTTGCGGACACCCTGTATTAACCTTCGGAAATCGTGGATACCCTTATGTTGACTGATTTCGCTGTTGAACAATAAAAACAATGACACTCCGTTAATACTATTAACTGTTAGAACAAGTTACCATACACCGATCCGCGGGGAAAGGAATAAACGATAAGTAATCAATTTTGGGCAGTTAACATCAATTAAACTCAGAATACCAAAATAAAAAGGATTTTCCGTGGCAATATATTCGGTCTGCTGTTACGTATGGGCTATAAATGTATAAAAAAAATTGTGTTACTTAATTTTTGTTATTTTACAAAACGGTCTTCGTCTCTTCTTCTTCTTTCTGCTACGGTCTTCACACACACACACACACACCCTCCTACCCTGTGCGGTCCCTCCACCACCCCTGTTCCAGGCAACCTCAAACCCTTGAGGAGTGGGGGGAAGAGCAATCAGCTCCTCCCCCCACTCCCGCCCAAAGGCCTGGAGTGGCGCTGCGTGGTTCAGGCCGCTTGCGCATTCCCCGAGTGTGTGCTGCCGAACGAGCTATCCCCCCTTCCCCAATTTGCCCCTTTTTCCGAATTTGACTCGATCGCGCACGCGTCGCGGAAGCGCGTGGTGGACGTTTCTTCCAACTGTCGGTTCTCGACTTTATGGCCGGCCTCTTTTCTTGGGGGTCCTGCGCTGGGGGCTTTCGACCTAAGCCCCTCTAAAGGTTGGTGAGCCTTCGCTCTTTCCTCGTCGACTGGAGTCAGTCAGTCGTCGTCAGTCAGTCATATTTGTAAGTCATTCGTCTCCTGAGGTTAGCCCCGAGTCCGTGCTTGACTCTGGCCACCTCAATCGACAGGCTTCTTTTGTCCACCCGTTGTACACGGGCTGTTCTTTCCCTCTTGGGTGTACAACTATTGTCGGTCTTCTCCCCTTTTCTTTGGCCTGATCAGCTGCTAGGGCCAAATATCTTCTTGTTGCAGCTGGCTTTTCGGTCTTTATGACGCCTTATTGTTCTTGGGTCGTAATCCAAGGCGGCTTCAATCAGCACATTTCTTTTCAAAGAACTTTCTGGCCCTCTCTCTCATCTGGATTACGACCGGTACCTGTCGTAGTTCGTCATATAGCACTCTGTTAGGTACATACCACGGTGCGTCCACCGCTTCACGGAGTGCCATGTTTTGTTGAGCTTGGAGCCTCTTCTTCATCGTTTTGGAAACGTAGCCCCAAGCTACTGCTGCGTAAGTCATGATTTGTAGCAGCACCATCTGAATCATGATGGTCTTATTCTTTAGTGACACTTTGCTTCTTCTGCCCGTTAAGGGTCTTAGTTTGGAGCGTGCCATCTTCACTTTCTGCACCCGGTCTTCGACATGGTTCTTCCAAGTGAGTTTCTGGTCCATCTTGACTCCAAGGTATGTGCTGGAGTCTTTCCAGTCGACCTCAACCTCTTCATCTCTTCTCCAGCCTCTCTCCATTCTGGTGGTCGTCATCTTTATTTTGGTCTGAGGTAATCTTCGATTTCTTCGGAACAGTACCGCTTCGGTCTTCTCGGGGTTGAGGCGGATCTTCCACTTGATGCACCATTCCTCTAGGTTGGTGGTCGCTCGTTGCAGATATTCCGTAACCATGCGGGGTCTCGTACTTTCTGCCGCATATGCTGTATCGTCCGCATACACATACAGTTGCGTTTGAGGAGTCTTCGGGATGTCTGAGCTGTAGATTGGATACAGCAGGGGTGGTAGAACCGCTCCCTGCGGTACTCCTGCCTCCACAGTCCTCGTCGTCGAGGTTGTTTTACCGATCCTAATTCGGAAATTTCGGTGCTTCAAGTAGGACTTCACCAGTTGGATCATCCCCTTTGAGTATCCGTGGTCTACCATCTTGTAGATCAGTCCGTCATGCCAAACAGTGTCGAACGCCTTTGCGGCATCCATGAACACAGCTCCCACGGCCCGCCGAGTCTGGAACGATTTCGTTGCCATCTCGACCAGCCTTAGGACCTGGTGCTCTGCTGAATGCCCGCATCGGAATCCGAACTGTTCGTCTGGAACTACTCGGAGTTCTTCGGTTTCGTTCTTCAGTCTTCGTTCGATTACCCTTTCCGCAATCTTGCTCAGTGCCGTCAACAGGCTTATGGGTCTGTAGTTTTGGGGGAACCTTGGGTCTTTCCCAGGTTTAGGAATGTGATCACCTCGGCTACTTTCCAGTGATTGGAAAGTACCGGTGTCTCAGTATGGCGTTGACGATGTTGGTAATTGCCATTATCGCTTTCCTCGGGAGTCTCTTCAGGACTCTGTTCCCAATATCGTCTACACCCGGTGCCTCTTCACCTTGAGTCTTTCGATGATTTCCCTTACCTCGCCTGGAGAGGGCATGTCTTCGATGGCTCTTCCTCCTCTGACAGCTCTCCTCGATCTTCTCATCACCTCGTCGATGAAGTCTTCGTCTTCATCGGGGTGAGTATTGAGAGTACACTGTCTCTGAAGGTTGTCAGCAAAAGCTTCCGCCTTCTCTTCGGTTGTGTACACCATCCCCTGTTCGCTGTGTATTGGGGGGATGGGCTGTCTTCTATTTCTGAGGATTTTAGCCAAGTTCCACATTCCTGGGTCAGCTGGAGATAGTTCGTCGAGTTTCTTATCCCAGGTGCTCTGATGGTGCTGCTTCAAGGCGTCTCGTGCCTGTCTCATAAGTCTGTTTGCCACCATGATGTCAGTGGGGCTTCTGGTCTCCTGGGCTACTCTTCGGGCTCTGTTTCTTTCGGTGATCTTGCGATTTACCTCGTCAGGTAGGTCCCTGAACCTGTTTGGTTGCGTTATGTCTTCCACGGTGGTTGCGGCTTCTAACGCAGCCTTAATCTTCCTTTCTAGGTCCGTGACCGCTTCTTCTATGCTTTCGGGGCTTTCGATCTGTAGTAGTGGTCCTTGTGAATAGTGCAGTCTGGTTCTAAACCGCTGCCAATTCACTCTCTTCACTGTTCTTTGTTCCACAGGTGTTATCCCATCTCCCGTACAGAGAAAGATGGGGTTGTGGTCTGAGCTTCCCTCTTGCATGGCGCCGATGGTGGTGCGCATGTCGATTTCCTTCAGAATCGCCATATCTATGACGTCTGGTCTACCTCCGTTGCTGGGGTATATTGTAGGTTCGTCCGGACCTATCATGGTATATCCAGGTTCATCCATTAGTCTTTCCAGAACAGCGCCGTGACTGTTTCTGTTTCTTGAGCCCCAAATGGTGGACTTCGCGTTTAGATCACCTACGATCACGGTACTGTTTCCCAGTGCAGTGATACAGGTGACATCTTCCAGATATTACGGACTTCTTCTATACATATATATATATATATATATATATATATATATATATATATATATATATATATATATAGAGAGAGAGAGGAGAGAGAGAGCGGAGAGAGAGAGAGAGAGATGATGAAAAGAAAATAACGACCACAGCTAATTATCATTTTGCATTTTATCATAACATAGTGGTTCTGAAAAGAACCGTTTTTTTTTTGTTCTTATTTTTCGAACCGTATAACCGTCGAAGCGAATACAACGTCTATATTATTTTGAACTGGTGTACTTGGTGACGGCTTTGGTACCTTCGCTGACTGCGTGCTTGGCCAATTCTCCCGGTAGCAATAGTCGTACGGCTGTCTGAATTTCTCTGCTAGTTATCGTGGCACGTTTGTTGTAATGTGCCAATCTGGAAGCTTCCGCAGCGATACGTTCGAAAATATCGTTGACGAAGCTGTTCATGATGCTCATCGCTTTGCTGGATATACCCGTATCGGGATGTACCTGCTTCAGTACTTTGTAGATGTAAATTGCGTAACTTTCCTTCCTCCTGCGCTTCTTTTTTTGTCAGATTTTGAGATATTCTTCTGCGCCTTGCCCGCTTTTTTGGCAGCCTTACCGCTAGTTTTGGGTGGCATTTTATTGTGAGATGATGCTGAGTATAATCGACACCAACGCTCGACTAACGGAACGACTGCAATTCTCTGGCCGTATTTAAGACAGGTGACGTTACGACCGTAGACTCCGCCCCCAGGCGTTTGCCGGCAAACGTTCGCGTCGATTGGTCGGTTAGTTCATATAAATACAACGTTCGCGGAGATCATGTTGTGCATTTGCAAGTTCATAGTCGACGTCGTTCGTTTAGCAGATTAACAAATTGAATATGTCAGGACGCGGAAAAGGCGGTAAAGTTAAGGGAAAGGCAAAGTCCCGATCCAGCAGGGCCGGCCTACAATTTCCCGTCGGTCGTATCCACAGGTTATTGCGAAAAGGGAATTATGCTGAACGCGTCGGTGCCGGAGCTCCCGTATATCTAGCGGCCGTTATGGAATACTTGGCCGCTGAAGTTTTGGAATTGGCAGGCAACGCTGCTCGCGACAATAAAAAGACCCGTATTATTCCACGTCATCTGCAATTGGCCATCAGAAACGACGAAGAATTGAACAAATTGCTTTCAGGCGTCACAATTGCCCAAGGAGGAGTTCTCCCTAATATCCAAGCTGTTCTTTTGCCGAAAAAGACGGAGAAGAAAGCCTAAAAAAAAAAATCTTCTGAACATACAATCGGCCCTTCTCAGGGCCAACAAGTAATTTAATAAGAAAATGAAGGGATTATCATTTGTATATGGAAAAATTTTCTCAGGGTGATATCGGATCGGTTGTGGCGCGAGAAGTTGGCAATAACTAAATTATTTAATCGAGGCATCTCATCGTCGCATTCACGTCTAATATTCGCCGGTATCTCGATAATGGGACATATCGGGACCGAAATCGTCGATTATTGTAACAAAGAGCCAAAACGTATAAGTCGATCAATTTCTCATATTCCGATAAACTCATTTATGTGAGTGTTTCTTTTTTTTTGTATAAAAAAAAATAGAAAATTAATGTGGCGGTTCAATCGGCAGATCCATTCTTTCTCACGAGAGTATATGGTGGTTCTGAAAAGAACCGTTTTTTTTTTCTTTGTATTGTATTTTCGTTCAACCTGTACCGTGGTAATTGCTGCGGAGTGTTTAACCACCGAATCCGTACAAAGTGCGTCCTTGTCTCTTTAATGCATATACGACGTCCATTGCAGTGACTGTCTTCCTTTTAGCGTGCTCGGTGTAAGTGACTGCATCCCTGATTACGTTCTCTAAAAAGACTTTGAGCACTCCTCGAGTTTCTTCGTAAATCAATCCGGATATACGTTTTACTCCTCCACGTCGCGCCAATCTTCTTATGGCCGGTTTCGTAATTCCCTGGATGTTATCCCTCAAAACTTTACGATGCCTTTTCGCTCCTCCTTTTCCCAATCCTTTACCACCTTTACCGCGTCCAGTCATTTTTCAAGATTCTCTCGCACGTCGAACTGTTAAAGCGAACGGGCTGTTGCCAACTGACGGTACGTCTCTCGTGACGCCCGGTTTTGTTAGCGTTGTCGTCCCTCCTATTGGTCTATCAATTGGCCAATCAGACTGTTTCGTATTTCGAGCCCATATAAATATAACTGTTCGCGGTGTTTACCTCCGCTCACTATAATATTGTCCGTTGCAATATTCACGTCGCTGCTATATAGATAATTTATATTCAGTTATCTGAAATTTAACGTAATGGCGCGTACCAAGCAGACGGCTCGTAAATCCACCGGAGGTAAAGCTCCCAGGAAGCAATTAGCCACGAAGGCTGCCCGTAAAAGTGCTCCTGCTACTGGCGGAGTTAAGAAACCTCACCGTTATCGTCCGGGAACTGTGGCTCTCAGAGAAATTCGTCGTTATCAGAAAAGTACCGAATTGTTGATCAGAAAATTGCCTTTCCAACGGCTGGTCCGTGAAATAGCGCAAGATTTCAAGACCGATTTGCGATTCCAAAGTTCTGCTGTAATGGCACTCCAAGAAGCTAGCGAAGCGTACCTGGTCGGACTATTCGAGGATACGAACTTGTGCGCGATCCACGCTAAGCGAGTAACGATCATGCCGAAAGATATACAGCTGGCAAGACGTATTAGGGGCGAACGTGCCTAATGGAATTGACGGATTTACTATTTGCCGGAAAGAGAGAGAGAGAGAGAGAGAGAGTACGGCGTGCGATAATAGGTTATAAAAAAAAAAACGGTTCTTTTCAGAACCATCATATAGTATGTTCAGAAAAAGGGGATCGTGTATTATGTTAAGTATATCAGATTGTTGTTTGTACGCGTGCAATTTCGACACTATTATCGTGTATGCAAAATAGCGCTAAATGGTTATACGATAGTCGCTAGTTATTACCCGTTATCCTATATCGAAGGATTGTGGTGCTTTGTAGTAAACCGTTACATTGATATTATTCTAATAACGTACGAATTGTATGTATGTGTATGGAAGTAAAATAACTTATAAGTAGCATGTGATTATAATGTAGATAATTCGACATAATATAGATATTTTGCCGTATATATTGCTTAGGCGTTTAGGCAGGCTGTTAGCGTGTAATACGTAACATTAGGTACTTTCACGTAGATCAAAAGTCAGTAATGCGTACGTCTAATAATTAATATGTAGTAAGAGATGAATTTATAACTCGATCGCTCGTATATTATATATAATATTTTTCTACTCTGGCTTATTTATTACGAATAATAGATTGATGTCTCATATTATTATCTATTTTGTCATATTACAGGAGTAATGTTAAAATTATCGCGATATATTTCGCGACTGTGCACGTTCGGATGTACGCCAGACATACCTCCGTATAATTGCGATTATCTAAAATACCTTATCCATTAGCCGTATACCGACAGTATAATTGTATTACGAATAGTCGTAGATTGTTAATTTCATGAAATATCTAATTATATAACGTATTCGTATAATATAAATTAGATCAAAAAGCCGGACGATTAGGTCCAAA